AAACATTATGAAGAATTCTTAAATTGACTTTTGCGTGACACTTGCAGGCAATTTCCTAGCAACTACATTTTTTTCTAATTAAAATGCTGTAAATGTAAGTGTTTGTATATTTCTAGTTATATTTATACTAAATTAATTAAAGTGCATTGCCGTTTTGAAGGATATTTTTATCATTGTTTAATTTGTTATTATACTGTTTTCAAAATAGCTGTGGACAAACTTGGTCACATTAAGTGGCGTGTACTGTATATACGAATGTGGGTCCCAAGGCTAAAATGCTTGGGGAATATAAGGGAATTTGTTTTCCTTGAAGTATCTAAATATTCATCAAGACTACGTAGAAAAAGATTATAAACTTTTAAAAAGAAGGTCCTCCTCTGCTTAATCCTTAATACCCCATAGTTTGTTAGTAAAACACAATCGTGAGTTCGGTTCAAATAAGATAGAAAATTTCTAACCCGGTTCTTGATCTTTTGAGCTTCTGTGACAGTAATTGACCACGATTTAGATAATTGGGGACAATTACACGCTTTTGATGATAAACACCTAAGCTAATACCAGAAGCACTAACTAAAACAAAATAACTCTGGTGTTTCAATTGCGCAATTTAGGGTTTTAGAGTTTACCACAGTTTGAAACCAGATACTTGCACAATTCAAGCCCGAAACGCTGGTCATCTTTATCTTAAGGACTGTACATAACTTCTTTTTGTCAGTGGACAAATTTCAGTTTGAGTTAATTCGTAACCTAAGTAATTATGATACTATCAAAAATTAAAAAATCTAAGAGAGTTATAAGGTATTTCTCCCACTTCCCTAGCGTGCCTTCGTGGTGTAACGGTAGCACGCTGGGCCGGTATTCCAGAGGTCCGTGGTTCGATTCCCAGCGAAGGCGGTTGCTAATTTTTCATCTCTACGGCTTCCAAAAATCCTAATAACTCTATAGAGTAAGGACAGGTTTTTCACAACTAGACATGGTAAATGCCAGCTTGAAGCTCTAAACAGCACGTTGCGCTTTAATAATTTTAAGCAGCATTTATTCCTATGGAAAAGGAATTATCACGAATAAATAAAGGCATTCTTGTCAGCGCAGGAGCTTGAGTGTTCATCATGACCAATGATCAATAACCAGTTTATCAAAACTTAACAACTTCAGTTTACATTTTTTTAATATCAGGTCTACTATTCCCAAAATTTAGGAATACCTGTAATAAGTTATATAATTGCAGAGAATAGCTGCTGTCAATGTTTTTTAGCGGAGCGGCATTTTGCTAGAAAATGCCGCTCCGCCACACTGCGAATACTTTCTGATACTGACTCTGTGTGCCAAAAGTTTACTTCTAAACCAGGGGATAACAAACTATGGAATATCATCCTCGTCGATTATGCCTCCGAAAGTGGGTAAATGCCATTAACAATACCAGGAGTATTGTAAAAAAGGAAACAGATTAAGGTAAATATGGCAACTTAAACGAAAGAAAGGCATCAAGTGCAGACCGATCGATAATAGAATCATCAAACTGATGCACAAAGCTTTTCCATCATTCTTCAAAAAATTCTTCAACAAATGCTTACAATTTTCTACATTTCCAGATTGTCTAAAAGTCAGCCAAATAGTGCTTTTCGCATAGAGGAACAGAGATCCTTCCAACCCGAAAGCTTATCGTCCCATTATCCTCTACACCAATATGCAAACCAGTTGAAAACGTTAGAACAAGAGTAAACTATTATAATCATAAGGCATACACTATTAGCTCGAATTATTTCGGCTTTCGTCCAAGTTATTCCACCTTGCACATATTCCACCTTCTAAAAAAACTGTTAAAAAGAACAAAGATAACTAAACTCCTGTCCACAGTCCTTTGCTTAGACTTGCAGAATGCATTTTACCTGCTGTGGTTGGCCAGGAGTTTTAAAAGCATTCAGGAAAGTAAAATGCTCATTCATCCTACTCCATCTAATGAAAGATTATTTCAAAAATGGAGGTAACTTCATCCAGTATAGTAACACCTCCATAAAAAGACAGCCACAAAAGAGAAGCCTTCATGGCTCATGCCTGAGCGCAGACCTTTGAAATTTAACTTTGAACTCCTATATATATGACCATCTCGCACAACAGTGATTGCATTTCAGGATGACATGGCCTCCACTCTTCTCCATTTGTGTTCCCGGCACCACAGAAACCGGCGTTTCCGATGATCAGGTGTTACTTACACACACCGTATTGGTTGTCGTAAATATAGACCACATTGATGCAGTCTCCTTGGTCGCGTTAAAACGTGATATCGGACGTTCACTTGTCTGCTGCCTGTCTCTTCTCGCCAGTAGAACAATATACCGGTTGTCCGTCGGCCTTGTTACTCGTGGACGACTACTGCTGAACTCTCGAACAGCTGTTTTTGTTGTCTCAAATGCTCTTTAAGCTCGAGAAACGATACTTTGTGCGATACCTAACTCCTCTGCTACACATGTCATACTTCGACCTTCTTCCAGCTTCCCAATGATGCCACCCCAGATTAAGTCATCCTGATGATATCTCCTAGATTGCTTGTTGGCCGAATCACATGGTAATAGAAACTCGATCTTTCGGTCTGCTCTATTGCCTTGTTCCGCTTTTATGCTAATTTCTCTGCCTCGTCCTGAATTTTGCACATCAGTGTAAAAGAATTGTAGTTGGGGGATAAGGCTCGAAAACTTTACTTAGAAAACTTTTATTAAAACATAATACTTTCGGCGGATTTTATTTTTAAACATGCGCAAAATGGTTTTGTTTTAAATTCTTTATCGAACCAAAAAAAAAAAGGTTTGGAACTTCTGATACTTTCTATATAAAGCTGAACGCAAGACTGGCTGAAAAGGGGTCATACGATAGCTGTGTATACCAGAAAATAACATGCAGCGCCGTTCAGTAGTCATCGGAACGAGTATCTCACGTCATATGTGGGTGAAAAATCAGATATTGTGATGCAAATTCTTACAGAGAAAAGCTCTCGGGCAATTTTGGGCGAAATTTGCTTTGTTGCCGATAGGATACATAAATATCAAATGTTGCGCTACAAGTGATTAGCTCCCCAGACAATAAGGAAATTTGGAGTGGACTGAAAATGACTCATTTGAGCCCATGAGTCTGAATCCAAAGAAAATTTCTCACAGAATATTAACGGTGTATTTGGTTTAGATTAGCTTTCTTGTGACTCAAAAAATGCATCGGAAGATTCTGAATGTTGACGCATTAAGATAGGCTTGAGGTAGAACAGTTGTAAACATAATATTCAACGATTTTATTCAACTAGTTGTGAATACTTTTTCCTTCTGTAGCTTTAAACATTGCCAAATTTTAGGGCAAATTTTGATTCATTTGTAAAGAATACATTGGACCATTATTAAATTTCTGTCCAAGTCGCATGATATCACCAGTTTAATTTTACTTTTTAGCCTTAGCATTCAAACTGACAAAACATATCTGAAAAACCAAAGGTTCTGGAAACAACGAAAAGTGTAATTTGCTCAACACCTTCGTTCAATCCACAACTTTTTATTTTCTTGCTGTGGGTGATTTTGTCATTTTTTGACGGAAATAAATCCAGATGAATGGGACAATTATCCAAATAATCAGGTTCAAATTGTCAAAGAGCTACATCCTCTGATGACAAATGCATTTCTGCCTAAACGTCATTGTTGAATAATCGCACCGACTTTCCGAGCAGTGGCTATCAAAATAATAGGAAAGGCGATATTTGCTAAAACACTGAGCAAAGGCGCATAACAAAGAGTAGTAATGTTTGGTCTAGCACCCTGAATTCTGTTCCTTTGAGAGCTAATGTCCGGTACAAAATTAAACTAGTGTCGACATGCAACGGAAACGTTATGCAATGATCCAGTGTATTCTCTGTGGTTAAAACAAGATTTGTCTTAGAATCATGTTAAAATGCATTTAAAATATCAAATTTAAAATAAGCAATTTTAACAGCACCGTTTAGCGTAGCAGCCGATGGCAGAAGCCAGATTTTCTTAACGATACCACACCTACCTGCACGTATTCATAAAGGTTGTTGCAACGATGGTTGAGTACAGTGATTAGATCATTGAGTCCTTTCTTTATGCCTTGCACGTAGCATCCAGTGTGCTCTGTATTGCCAGTGCATACTGCTTTGCATGGGGCAGCCAGTCTATTCGAATGCCTTCAGTACAGCTGGTGCAACTGGTATAACTGCAATGAGCGGTAGATTTTAAAATTGAAGGAGGTAATGGGGGCAGAATATAGGTGCCGCAGATGCTGCACCAGGAGGCAAAAAGTCTAGGTCATAGCCTTCAAGATAACGTTTTGGAGGAGATATATCTGCTGCTTTAAATATTCTTTAATAGCTGCAATTTGCTCTTCTTTTATATGACTGGAAGTTATTGCTCTTTGCTGTGCGACATAATCTGATATTATAAAGTGATCAGTTAACTAATAAATATTTTCTTTAATTATATTATTATACCCATGTAACTACACTGAATTGCATTGTCAATGAGTCTTTCAATCAGTGTGTTATGCTAAATCTATCTCAGCAAGCTTAATTTTTGAAAGGCAATCTATACATTGATCTATAAAAACTAATATAAAACTGTACCATCATGAAATGTGATATATTACAATGCAGTGAGAGTGACAGTGATTTATATTATATTTATCTCGAAATAGTGGCACTATGTATCATTTTTATCCGAGTATTCTAAACATCACAATACTATAATATCATTATTTCACATTGTGTGTTTTCTAATAGATGAGAGTTCCATGAAAAAGCTGTTTTATAACAATGTTCAGAAGGAATTCCAGTGCAAACACCATTGCATGACTGAATCATGAATATTGTGTTACTGATAACAAACAATGTAACAGTCAAATATTGTATTATTGATTAAAAATAATGTTAACCATCCTATACCAGGAAGTTAATGTCTCGTGAAACGAACATTTACGAAAGCTTAAATGAGACCAAAATGGAACTATCATTCCGATGTAAAAAATCTATTCAGAATTTATTTAAAAAATAAATATAGAAAATCCTTCGAAATATATACATAAATGTGTCAACAACAACTATGTTTAGAATAATCAAATAGTTAAAATAGAGGCTCTGGCCAAAGTCTAAAACAAACGGAAAAAATATGTAAAATGTAACATTTATATCGAGTGAAGGAAATGCTTCGATTCTGTCAGGTCATCGGATTCGGCAACATCCTCTTTCTTCTTGCGTTTATTTTCGGACTGTGGAGCTATACCCCATGACTGTGGCTTCAGGTCACCAAAAATAACAAAAAGCAAAGTTGACACAGAAACGATAGATATCGTCATGTAGAAAACTTTTTTCCACTGTTCGTTGGAATTCTGTAAAGATAAAGCATAAATTAGTTATAATTAACAACTGAAAATGAAAAACAAATGAAATAGTAGTTTAATCTGATTCAGAAGTCAAACAACAAAAATCAGCGTTAATTCACAAAATTTTCACAGGACTAGTTTCGATGGTTTTACCGAACCATCATCTTCAGCTGCAAAACCGCAAATGAACAAGATAGGAAATAATGTTTAGATAAGATAAGAAAGCCTGGAGAAGAATAAGCAAGTGGCGCCATCTGTTGGCGAAACCAGAACTAAAACATAATTTCTTTAAAAGCCGAAGGCAAATTTGGATTGGAATTAGGATCGTTAACTAGAACAGAAAGATTTTTATGAATGTGAAATGCCTCTAGAAAATCCAGTTCTCCAATGGAAGATGTTTTTTGAATAATTTTGGCAGCAGAAAAATTGAAAGTGTGATTTTCGGACCAACAATGTTGAGCAACAGAAGACTTCTGTGTTTCCTTTTTTCTAACATATGCCTCATGTTCTTTGACGCGAAATTTTAAGGCTCTCTTAGTTTGGCCAATGTTTAGTTTGGCACTGGCAAGGAATCCTATAAATACCCCAGGAATTCATATCCGGAATGGGGTCCTTGAGTATAGAAGTTGGAATTTTATTGATGGGAGAATAAACAACCCGAAAGTTAAATTTCTGCAAAATATGTGCAACTTTATAGCTAATTGATGGAAAGAAGGGAATGACAACAGAATTTTTATAATCTCCTAAAATAAGAGTGTGGCTTTTAGTGTGTTGAGATGAGAATTTTTTAACTGCTTGATTAATAATGTTGGGTGAAAAGCCCCTGTCAATAGCTATTGCTTTTAAATAATTTAGTTCTTCATCAAGGGCTAGTTTGGAGGAGCAAACTTGAAGAGCACGGAAAACATAGGAATAAAATGAAGCTAACTTTTGTTTAGTCGGATGAGATGATTTAAAGTGTGGTGGAAGGCAAACCGATGAAGGTTTACGGTAAACTGTAATATTGAAGTTGGATGTGTTACGTGTGACCAGAATGTCGAGAAACGGAAGAGAATTGCAAGTCTCAAGTTCAAAAGTGAACTGAATAGCAGGATCAATAGAATTCATTGTTGAAAGAACTCTATTTAAATCATCTTTATTACCTTCAAACAGGGTAAAAGTATCGTCTACGTAGCGGAACCATGCCGGGAAGTTTAAAGTTTCAAACAATTTTGATTCATAATAATTATTTAAAAGCAATAGCTATTGACAGGGGCTTTTCACCCAACATTATTAATCAAGCAGTTAAAAAATTCTCATCTCAACACACTAAAAGCCACACTCTTATTTTAGGAGATTATAAAAATTCTGTTGTCATTCCCTTCTTTCCATCAATTAGCTATAAAGTTGCACATATTTTGCAGAAATTTAACTTTCGGGTTGTTTACTCTCCCATCAATAAAATTCCAACTTCTATACTCAAGGACCCCATTCCGGATATGAATTCCTGGGGTATTTATAGGATTCCTTGCCAGTGCCAAACTAAACATTGGCCAAACTAAGAGAGCCTTAAAATTTCGCGTCAAAGAACATGAGGCATATGTTAGAAAAAAGGAAACACAGAAGTCTTCTGTTGCTCAACATTGTTGGTCCCGAAAATCACACTTTCAATTTTTCTGCTGCCAAAATTATTCAAAAAACATCTTCCATTGGAGAACTGGATTTTCTAGAGGCATTTCACATTCATAAAAATCTTTCTGTTCTAGTTAACGATCCTAATTCCAATCCAAATTTGCCTTCGGCTTTTAAAGAAATTATGTTTTAGTTCTGGTTTCGCCAACAGATGGCGCCACTTGCTTATTCTTATCCAGGCTTTCTTATCTTATCTAAACATTATTTCCTATCTTGTTCATTTGCGGTTTTGCAGCTGAAGATGATGGTTCGGTAAAACCATCGAAACTAGTCCTGTGAAAATTTTAAGAATTAACGCTGATTTTTGTTGTTTGACTTCTGAATCAGTATTTATTCGGCGTGTTATTGTGTCTTAATTAGTAGTTTAATCATTAGGGAAATATAAAACCAAAGCAAGTTTTTAAATCTTTTCCATGATTAACTTCCATGGTACTTCGTTATTATAACGGCCTCCGACCTTATTTGGCGACCTTAGAATTACGCCAAGATCCCAGCTGTGATTTCATCAAGGTCACGAAGCGCGAATGCATAAATAAAAGACAAAATATATAATAATAACAATAAATATTCACATATTGTTTCCCAAGAATATTTCTAATAATCGTTATTTCCGAAACTGCTTTCAACAATTCATCAAAAACGTCATTTTTTACCATAAAAATTCCGAAAGCTACTTTACGAGGTGATACCGAGTCACTTGGCTAAAACCCACAATCTTTCCACATTTTAAGTGTGATCACTCATAATTCGGTCTACGAAACTGTACTTATGGTTTATAAAAATGTGACTGTGACCAGCTTCTTCAAGCTGCTCCATTTTACATGTCTTCCAACAGTCTGAATAGATCGTTGATTGATCTTGCAAATGTTGAATAATTTTCTTCATAAGTGTACCAGCATTCGAAATTTGAACGATAAAGCACTCGCCATCTTCTCGGCATACTCCTCCAAAAATCCAATGTTCTGGGAGTACTCTGCGTTGTTGTTCTTTTTTTAGACAGACAAACTTTTATCAGTTTCAAACATTTTATGAGGACCACCTATTTGTCCATTGAATCTTTGCATCAGATGTGCGGAATACACTTCCCGCATGTAATTGCTTCAATTAGTTGCAGTATTTTCACACATATTAAGCTGTTAATTCGAAAAGTAAGAAAAGATTATTATAGTATATATTTTCGAATGTACTTGTATTATTTTCCTTGGTTGCCTTTTAGTAACTATTTTGATATTGTTTTGTTGGAGCTGTTGTTGTTTCTGGCTTGGTCTGACGCAGCCTGAAAAAAGGCCATAGGGCGATGTAAGTCTGCCAGGAGTGTCGGGCTGGGATCCTCACATCACATCACATCACATATTAAGCTGTTTATCACACCATTTGATGGACATCATCTCCTCTGCCCAAGAATACATAAATCTAATAACAGTGACAAACGATATTCTGGAACTATTGAACTAATATGCAATACGGAGGCTCTTCTGTATTTTACACTTTTAACACTGAACCTCGAAATGGTTTCGTTATTAAAAGACAGTTTCATGTTGTGGTCATTTTTGCATACTCGTTTGTCAGGTTAATGACCTCTTTCTTGAAAAAATGATACGTCATCCAGCTCTTTATTTGGTAAACTAAAGACTGTTAACAGCATATTCACAAAACAAGCAAAAGATATTTTCAGAAAACCAATGCTAATTAGAAATCCTTTCAAAAAATGCATGATGTTTATGCAAGAACATGTAGCGAGATTTGGGCGAGATATCTCGGTTGCTTAGTGATTAAACCTCAAGACCGCTATAATAAGGAAGCACGCAATTTTTCTTTATGTAAAATTATTTCTCAGTAAAATAATCTATATGAATTTAATTCTGTATTATATACAGATTATTTTTCGAATCCTAAAAGGTCTGGTCTGTTTTAAATTTTCAATTTAAGATTTGCCATTTCTCGACTTAATGCTTTTTTTTTGTGACACAGAGGGTATCCAGCACTTTTCGGATACGATTTTGATAGTTAATTTTCATGCATAAATGGCGTATTTCTTGTAGCGATTTTCTTCCTTCTAATAGCCTTGATTTTTCACTGCCGAATTTTCTATAAAGCTAACTTTATCTTAACACCATTATGTCAATTTTCGCCCACTCTTCTTGAATCGTTTTACAAAGTCCAGTCATCCGTTTTCCAAAGTTTCTAGAAGTTGGAGGAAATGAATGAATAAATTGGCCCAACAGATCACCTTATTTGAGCACAAATAGTATAACTACTGAAAAATCCACTATAAGATCTTTTTGTATGAGCGATATGAATTAAAAAGCATCGAAATGTTTCCAACGTATTTCAGCGATTTAAAGAGCCTACCGGTGGCAGAAAATCACATTCCTTAGTAATTTCAACTGTCCGCAGTTGCTTTTGAAGTACACAATTTTCTTAAAATTTCACTGTCTCATATACTTTCACACTTATTTCATAATATTGTTTAGTCAGTATGTTTATCGAAGCTGGAAACATGAAAAATGAGTAATGCCCTAGCCGGGATTCGAACTCTATACCCTCCGATGCTAGCCGGATATGTTTTGCAGTTACACCACGAAGGCACGCGGTAAGCAGGGAAAAAGACCTTACGAAATAATTAATTTTTTGTTATATACATTCATATTCAATTTTCCAGTTTGTACTTATGTGTTGTGATTTAAATAAATTTAATTATTTAAATTTATTATTGAATAAATATAATTATTAAATTATTTAAATAAATCCGTTAAATTTTATTGAACAGGTAGTTTTAGAAATATGTGCTTTTGTGTTATGTAAAGTAATTTTGGACACCAGTGTACATAGTGTAAAATATAATGCAAATAAAATAAGCAGAAAAGATGAATCGTACCTCATAATTTGTCATATATCCGACTAATGCTGGTATCATAAAGAAAGGAAATACCCCAACAATATTAATGATCCCGCTGACGGTACCTAAAAAATAAGTAATTGAATAAAACAAATTTTTCTTATAATTACACAGATAAATATATATTCAAAAAGAAAAAAATATATACTAAAGTTTTGAAAATAAACAAGACAATAATGTCAGTCTGAAAATACAAGCTACGAATTCTTTAAATGCATATACTTGAAAATCTTCACTTTCATTCCGGATCTAATAAAAACTAAATGAATAATTACAACATTTATGTTAATCATTCCCTCCGAATCCTCTTACATTTTAGATTAAAAATACCGAAATCATCTTAAAATTTAATCTTAGTTCAGTTTGTCAATGATTTTTATTTAGCTTTGTTGAGTTTAACTAGCTGTGCGAAGATGAAATGATATTCCCTGTTTAAAAAAATAGCATTTCGATATCTACACCTAATTATACATGTAAATATTACAGATACTTTAAATCTCATAAAGATCAGATATTATTCCACAACAATTAACTCATAATAGTAAGCAATTCTTTTTGGTAAGCTAACAAAAATAAGAAATACGAGTTAATCTAAAAAAAAAAATACTTGAATCAACATAAACACATATGCAAAGGAAATGTACAGTCTCGTCGTATGACTGAGAGAAAAAAGTGCATACGCTGTCATCTATGACAGACGGTTTTAATAAAAAGATCTTCAGAAACAGAAAGCAACATGCAGTTCGCCAACCAATGATTACATATATTAAATTAGTAAATTAATTTTAGAATAAATAGCTGTTCTGGTTCATAAATTTTGCTTGCATATACACAGTACTATTTTCTCCTGAATACGTATCATTTCTAGATGCCAGTGCAGCAGAAAAAAATTGTCTTTCGTAAACTACGCTGTTAAGAATATGTTCACAAAAAAAAAAAAAAAAAAAAAAAAAAAAAGGGTTAGCGGACTGTAATATCACTTGTTTATTTTACATAACACTTTTAAAAAAAAGAAATGCCGTCTCCGTGACGACACAGCACACGTCACTCTTAGCACCGTAGCAATTAAAAAACAAAAAGGAATAGAATACAAATCACATACACTGGTGTGCAAAAATTAAGGACGAGACGGTTTTTTCAATATAACTTTGTACAAAAGCTTTCCAAATCAACACATTTAATACCTTAAGATCCCCAATACGTAAGGACATGAGTAATGTAAGCACACTTACTAAAAGAGAAAGCAGAGGGATTAAAAAGAAGCTTTATTGAAAAAGTAGCATGGAGCGCAATGCGACTGAAGGCCGAAACATCCCTGTGATGGGTGTCCAGCAAGAAACATCCGGTCTTTAATAGGGGATATGATCTCTCCTGACTGCTAGGCAGTTTTCACAGCGTCTGCCCATGCTGAGAATGAGGGTGTCGATGAGTTGTTGAGTCATTGCTGCCCATTCGTCTTCCAGCGCCATTCGAAGCTCCGGAATCGTTACTGGTGGTAAGGTACGAGCTGCCAAGCGTCTGCCTAAGAAAATCCCATACATGCTCGATGGGATTGAGATCCGGAGATCGTGCCGGCCAATCCATACGTTCCATATCCTCACTCTCTAAGAGCTGTTCGGCAGCTACTGTGCGATGACATGGTGCATTGTCGTCCATGAAAAGGAACTGCGGACCCATAGCGCCTCTAAAAAGACGCACATATGGAAGAAGAATCTCGTTACAATAACGGGTCCCGTTGACTGAACCTGCGTCGAAGATGTGAAGGTCTGTACCATAGACCTGTTATATACTAGACGGAGCATCGCCATTCAAAACCGTGTGAAAAAGTGGCACAGGAATGAGCTGCAGGTGTTTGGGCATGAAATGGAACTGAATCCAGACTTTGGCGTACTATCGCCATGGCTGGCGATTTTTTTCCTCTCTTTTCTCTCAGTTCGAAATGCGAACTTGGAAAGACGTCATTTCGCAGAAGCTGCCGTTGAATTTGCAGAAGAGGTTAGATCGATAAACACCAGCCAAAATTAATAATTTCCCTAAAATTGGACTTATTTTAAAATTTAACTTTATTTAAATTTAATTTTAAAATTTAAATAATTTTCATGCTGTAGAATAATATTTTGCAATATGTCCATCGGCGTCTACAAAATTTAAAATAAAATAAAAAAAACTGGAGAGAACAAACTAAATAATAAACTAATAACTAAATAATAAACTAAATAATAAATATAAACTAATAGCAAACTAAAAATAAATAAGTAAAATAAATAAATAAAAAAAGAAGGCATTTTTAGTATTTAGGACAGAATAAAAATAAAAAAATAGATACATAAGAAGAATGAGTGAAAACAGAAATAGTACAAAAGAAAATTTAATATAATACGAAAAGGAAATTTAATATTAATACGAAAAGGAAATTTAATGTTAATACGAAAAGGAAATTTAACGTTAACACGTGTATTACAGAGAACTACAGAGTAGGCAAATCAACGTGAGAAAGGCATTAAATTAAATGAACTAAAAATGAATGTCAATATAACAGATACAAGTTAAAAGGAAGAGAGAGAGGTAAATTAATGAAACAAAAAAGTGATAAATTAAGACTTTTACTAGCAAAAATAAGTATATTACGCACGTTGCACAATGTAGTCGCACTGATTTTAAATAATTTTAGAAGATAAAATTTAAATAATGTTCATTATTTTTAAAAAGAAACTTAAAATGATTAAAGTTTTGAAATTTAACTGCTATATAATGACTATTATCTTAATACTTAACAAATTCTTAATATTAAAATAAATGACAGAAACATGATATAAGAAAGAAAATACGTGACTGAGGTACAAATTTGTTATATTTGGATGCAAGAAAAGGGGATAAAATAAAGTCATTCATGTCCCCCTCCAAAAAAAAACATAATTTTATGCAGTTCTTACCAGTGTTACATCAACATTACCAAGTATTAAATACATACATTACTACTTCGCAACATGTCCGCCTGAGCAAACGCATCAAGAATATATAAACAAACGCATTCTCAGTCGTTGGCGTATAAAAAATGTCGCCAAAGCAGAATACTAGACTAATTAAAATTATATTGTATTAATAAAATTTTTAACATTTTTTTCAGAAACAGTTATTAGAAACAACCATTAAATACTTTTATTAAAATACTTTTATTTCAAGTTATTTCAAGTATGCATATATTATATAAAATTAGAAAATCTATTTTTTATTAGAAAAAGGCAAGTAGAGTGGATAAAAAAAACCTCTACATTTTATAAATAGTTTTAAAACATTAGAAAAAGCTCAGTTGTGAAGTTACTCCTCCATTTCACATATTGGAATACATCCATATGGGAGCACGAAAGTATCATTTTTGAAGTCCGAACAATGCGCTTACACGCAAAACACTTGCTTCTCACAAATTCTCCATAGAAACTGTAATGGCAAAGATCCGCGGCAAATACGATTTGGGAATGTTCCAATGTCACGTGGTTCGCATTCCTGTTCCCCTTCAGGGTTGCGTTTCTCTCTCTAGTACATACAGCTCTATGGTCTGTACGACTACCAAGCATGACCTCCCAAACGAGAAACACCGCCACCTCCATACCTGTCCTTTCAATGTTGCAGGGATGATTGCGGCTTCCCCGCTCTCCAGATGAGTATGCGATGAGAATCGCTACTCAGACTGAATCTGCTCTCATCTTAAAGAGTACTCGTCCTCATTCAGTGTCTCTCCAATTCCGTGTTCCCGCACCACAGAGAACGCCTTCTCCGATGGGCAGCGTTAGGGTACAACACCGTACAGGGCGTCGTGCAAACAGACCACCACCGTGCAGTCTTCTGGCCACGGTAAACGCGTATGGTCGTCCAGTTCGCCTGTGTCGTGGTCTAGCGATTTCTCCCGCTGTCTGCCGCCTGTTTCTTCTGGCCTGTAAGGCAATATAACGTCATCTGCGGGTGTGGTCCTCGTGGACGAACCACTACTAACCCCCGAATAGCTGTTCCTGTAGTTTGAAATTGTCTCCAAAGTCGTGAAAGATGCTGTGAGCAATTCCAACTCTGCACCACACTTGTCACACTGCGGCCTTTCTCCAACTTCCCATGAGTCGACCTCGAGTAAAGCATCCAGATGTCGTCTAACAGATTGATTATTCGCCATTTCTCGCTGAGCAGCAACTCGGTGTGATTAAAACTGCTATACGGCGTGCAAATCTCTTTGCCAGAAATACCGATCTTACCGACAACATGCTTCATAACTCAGACACTCCCCCATTATCCCTTATATCGCTATCTCTCGCATGTGCTACCGACACCTTACTTAATCTCCTGATTGGTCTTTCTGTCCGCTCTGTCCCTTCGTTCAGCTGATATGCTAATTTTTCGACTTCGTCCTTAGTTTTTGCACACCAGTGTAAGTTATGAATTGAAAGTTCGTTACCATAGCAACCAGAATTGAATAATCAGGCAGCAGCGCCATCTATTGTTGCAAAGACACACTAGTAATTCGTTTGGTAACAAAAAAATACTAAACATACGCTGACTCCAACTTTTAACTTTCTTCCCTCTTAAACACACAAGCACCGAGTACACCACTTTGGCTTCTGAAGATTCAAAGCACTTAGCATTGACTAATCTTATCGTGCTTTTATTGTTTGAGAAACGAATATTTTTAGCCAAGAAATGAAATAAGCTTTTAACTGTCTTCCCTCTTAAACACGCAAGCACCGAGTACACCACTTTGGCTTCTGAAGATTCCAAGCACTTAGCATGACTAATCTTACCGTGCTTTTATTGTTTCAGAAACGAATATTTTTAGTCAAGAAATGAAATAAGCTTTCAACTGTCTTCCCTCTTAAACACGCAAGCACCGAGTACACCACTTTGGCTTCTGAAGATTCAAAGCACTTAGCATTGACTAATCTTATCGTGCTTTTATTGTTTCAGAAACGAATATTTTTAGTCAAGAAATGAAATAAGCTGATATAACTAATGTTGCTTAAATGCATAGGTATTCGACTGATACTGCGAATAGTTACTGGTACGAGACTGCGAATACGTACTGGTGAATGCATAGGTTCTGAACTGAGACTGCGTATAGGTACTAGTACTGGACTGCACTCCTTGAACGTATTAAGTATTGGACTGCATAGCTTGAATGCATAGGTAATGGGCTGAGACTGCAAAGTTAGGACTGCGAAATCGAGCCGGATTTACCTTACATTCATACTTAGCGCATTAGTCTATTTTGCAGACTAAACCAAGACTTCAAAGCTAGCATTTTAAACTAATTTACTTTGTTTTCTGTTTCCTCTTCCATGATGATCTGCAGAACAGTTCAAGTAATAAGTAATACTTATTTTGCTTGTGACCATCAGAAAAACTGTTATTCCAGTGACATTCTTCCTCGAAGATGAAAGCCCAAGAGAACTTTCCTTAATCTTGTTAGGTCAAAATGATTGCTATATTGTTATGCACACTAGCAGTAATAAAATCATTGGAAGTGAATCACCTCTTCTGTTAAGCATTTTAAATTCATTTCGATGAAAATATTCATATTTCTCTACATCTAACAAACTTCATCTCTTTGTACTTCTAAAATACTTTCCAATATACTTCTCCTAAATGGCAGCATATTAATTTATATGTAAATATTTAAGTGAGACTTTTCTGTTAACTAAGCTTATCAGTATTTTCATGCATTTATTACCAATATAAATTAAATATTTATGATTACTTTTCTGAAGATTATCACTAGGAATTCTTTTCAGTGCCTTTAATTTTGGTTAAATATTTTATATATTCATTGATTCAATATTTAGTACGCGAGTTCTGAAAACATGTGTTCTTAGAATGTAATTTAAACAGTGGGCTTAACCGTGCATTATTTTCATTTTCTTGTTTTTAAGAACACTTTTATAATATGCTGATCATTCTTGTAATAATCATCTCTAAGTTCAATAAAATTTAGATTCGGACTCAGTAATAAATTATAAAACTTTCAAAAATTAGTTACACTTATGGATTAATTTTATCCATGCAAAAATCTTTCCCAATATCCAATAAAAAATATGGAACTTTCCCAATAATGGATTTTTCAAAATATTATTATGTTAGATGGAAACCTTAAACACGAATTGACTTCGTTGTGATCTGAATTATAATGAAGACCAAGATTTTAAGTATTAAAATAAATAACAGCTACAAATCAATAACACCAGGAATTCAAGCAGAATCTGGCTTTGATAAAAAGAGAAATATCTGTTATGACAGAAGTTCATCTCATCAAAACTACAGATTATCGGAAACAGATCTGACCTCCTTGTACTTCCTCTAAATTCAAAGTTTTCAAGAGATTTTCGTTAGTTGAATAAGACAAAATTTTGTAATAATAATATATTCTATTCAGCAATTTTTAGTATCTAATAATGACTTGTTTTTATCTTCTTATCAGCATAAATATTTTTGAACAATCATTCAGAGAATAATTTGAAGAATTAAATGCTAATTAATTTATTACATCAAAGCTGATGAAATCTCTTTGCTTAAAATGAAGTTTTCATGCAGACATTTCTATGAATTCACAGGCTTACATCAATGTTATACATTCGGAAAAATGCGCAAATGTAAAGCAAAGATTTAAAATATTTTGGTACGACTTTGTAAAAGTATGGTAATAATTTAACAAGTAATACAAGTAATAAAAAATACAAGTAACTGTTTGTAAACGTCGGTGCAGGTCAAATAAAAAACATGACTTCTGTTGGTGAATATTGTTCTTGTTTCTCAGATGGAAAAGGCAAAGGACTATCTGATTTTTTTTATGTTACATAAGGTCCGATAGGGGTGATCATTCAATTTCTTTGAGAGGTTTGTGAAAAAAATCACAGTAAGCCTTCTTCAGAATAGTATCGTCAGAAGTGTGCTAAAGAAAGAGAAATATTTAACCACAGAAAAAGGGTAGCTATTTTAAGTAACATCAATTTTAAAGGAAACAAAATCTATCCTCTCTCACATAGTGGAGGTAAAAAGTCGGAACTCACACAGTGGGGTGAAAAGTCAAGGAATTTAAAGATGATAGCAAAAATAATCTGTCACAGGGCATACTCCATCAAAACTTGTTGATAGTAAAGTTGCATAAGCTAAAGCCGATCTAAGAATCTATACTAACTTCTGTTAACTATCAGTGGCGTCCACATCTCGACAAGAACTTCGAAACTAGATCTTGAAAACAACTGGAGACAAATTACTCAAACCATTTTCTGCTGCCTGTAGCAGACGGCCATACAGTGTACCCGTGAGCGTTTTGAAATGAGAGTGAATTATTAGGCAAACACAAATCAGAGCAATAAAGGCGTAGTCTTGGGCAGTATCTTCTGAGCAAACCACTTACAGATGTGCAGTGACATTGGATATCTTTTAACCAATTCAAAGCTCCAATGCATCACTGCAAACCGCTCAGAATTTTCAGGATAGTTCATAGAAGTTAAAAAAGTGTTCCGAATCGTGCCTTAGTTTGCAAACGAGCGTAAATCCAAAGGAACAATGAGACATGACAAAACAGTAAATCTAATGTACCGCTATTTCAATCACGTAATTTAAATAAGCTGAAAGGATCAGTTAATAATGTGAAAGTGTCAGGTACTGAAGAATATCTTTAAAAACTTTGTAGCTGTCATATTGTCTCGGGTAGCCGCTGTTTAGCGGCATACGGCGGACAAATAGCATACAAATGGTTACAATATTGCGGTTGTTCTTGAGTTGACAGAATCGAATCGACTTTTCTGAGTAAGACGACAGAGACTGCACTAAGTTACGAGCAAATAAATAACCTGTTAGCTTCCTTTGTAATATAAATATGTTGTATTTCGTAATAGAATGTAACAAATAACACCATTTCTGATTAAAACATACTTCAAATACAAAATAAGCGAATTCGTGGGAACTGGAACTTTACCTGAAAGTGAAGGTGCTATATCTATGCAGGCCATGCAAACCCCGAAAGTAACGAATTCTCCAAGAACTCCACCTAGAATAAACAGAAGGGTAGTTGCTGTGACGTTGCGCCCGACGATAGTGATGCCCAAGAAAGCTCCACAAGATACAACTGTATCTGCAAATGGAGATGCGAGATTAATTAAATTACATATACACAACATAAATTAATTATTCCATTAAATTCTTTCATCATTTAAGTAAGCTCAATAAATTAACTGTTAGTTAAACTGTAAAATGAAAAGATCAATTCTGAAGAGTATTGTCAGGCAGTGGTGAGCTTCACATTCATTTTAATTTAAAAATCTACCTAAATTTACTGCATCACAAAAATCTACCTAAATTCACTGCATTACCCCATACATATCCATATTTATTAATATTATATATCTAACTTTATTAAATACGAACAACGATTATCAACCCTTAGGTCACTAGACACTGATCGTCAGCCTGTATGCTACTAATGAAGAACAGTTTGCCTGGTACCAATGTTATCCGTATAACTTTTTAACTATAAAGTGCTACTGCATTGTACCATATTGGGTAGCTCATTTTTAAAAATAAAAGAACGTAAGTCACATCTGGCATAATACACCTCTTACAAGCTTGTGACTATTGGCATAAATAGAGAAATTATACTCATGATCAAGTCTTCTCCACAACCAAGAAGATCGCAGCTGAGGTGCTACAAGGTTCCATATTAAGACCTTTACTATATCTTTTCTTCGTGATCTAAGTGATATATTTTCCATGAACACAAAATGATCCAACACCAAATTTAGCAATAAAAAAACTCCAGCATCAGAACCTGGTGTACAAAGTGCAGAATCCTAATAAAAGGCTATAAATCTCAACTATTCATCGTAGACAGGCAAGAAAACATGTAAAGAAATGCCACTTATGCGAGATACCTAGAAGTTATGCTCGATCAAGAACTCCTCTAGGAACTATACACATTTAGCAATGAAGTTCGAAAGACAAAAATGAAAATTCGCAAGTTATGCCCATTTCTGGGATGTGGATCTAATTTAAATTTAACGCAAAAACGGCTAATCTACTTGACTATTAACCGTGCAATTATAAGTTATGCATCTCCTGTTTGAGCTAGTATCTTGCCTAGACTTTTGCATAAATCGCAAATAATTTGCATAAATTGGTTCTCTTAATTTTCACAGGAACTCTCATCAATAGATTTTGTGAATAATGAATTTGTTCTCTCAGAAACATAGTATTTTCAGGAATTATTTTGTAACTTATGTAAAGTCTATGTTTCAGTTACTTTATGAACTCTTACGTGAACTTGTCAGGGAGTCTCATGACTTGCACCTCTATTCCTAAATGGAAACTAACTTTTAAACAGGTTACGTGTCATTTACCCACGTAGCTTCAGCAAATGTTTAGTTACATTTTCTGTGGCTGCTTACGTGATAAAATGTTTTTTCCTCACTGGATTAAAAATATTTTCAAATTACCTACCAACTGTTTTCACTACTATTCTGGTCATTGTTTTCTAACCCAGACTTGAATCTGCATATTTTACTTTCTTTCTACTGATATGTCATGCATTTTATTACGTATCATAGATCTGTTAATGTGTTTGTGTTTCTTTCACCGACGCAAATGATCTCTTATGTACACAATTCTTTCTTCTAGAGAAAACGTATCTGAAGATTTGATACTGTCATGTTGCCAAACAAGGCATACTATGTAAATGGGTGACAGCACATGAGGGCTTATGTTTGTAAACATCTACCATAAAGGCGTAAAGTCTGTAACTCATCGGTTACTTGCATTGATGTGCACTTTTGGCGAGCTTCGATTTAATTTTATTATCTAACCAAATTTATTGCTCTACCTCATAATGGTGGCCTGTGCGTTGAATCCCCAAATGATTCTCAACCTGTCGTCACAAATAACCAACACCCATGAATCGCATCGATCAGCATCTATTTTAGATATTTATATAAACTTACTACATTGTTTCACTAAATCACTAATTTATGAGTTGGTCCCAAGTGACCCTAAACCCGCAAGTCATAGATGACTTTAAAGGGTACTGACTGAATCAATCAAACGGCTTGACGAACATCAGTGTTTCAGTTTAGTTCGAATTTGTTTATACAGGGTGTTTATAAAGTCCCGGACCTATTTTGATGTTTAATAACTCTTAAAATAATGAAGATATAAACAAACTTATGGCATTTATTTATGGAATGACTTATATATTTTCTTTTTCAGGTTTGAATATCTTTACGTTTGTAAATATCGTCTGCGCGTGTGGTTAATTCAGATAATTTCATTTTCCAGTCTAATATCTATACTTTCTAATTCCGTGCTAATAATTGCATTTTTCTCTCTTTGTTTTTGGCACTATTGCAATTTGGCTTTTTCCTTTGGGGATTTGTAAAGATACGTTTCCAGAGAGGTCGAACATGGATGACCTAAAAGCCAGAATTACAAACCGCAAAGCCTCTGTGGAGGCCGACATGCTTGCCGGACCTGACGTGAAATGAATATCGACTGCTATTCTCCGTGCGACGAAAGAGCACACGTAGAAGTTTATTGACAAGGGTCATGACATTTTTGAGTCTATCAAGCATTATGTTTTAATTTTTATCTTTATTATTTTATGAGTTATTAAACATCAAAATGGGTCCGGGACTTTATAAACACCCTGTATATCTAAATTTACTGCACTAGCCCCAATGTAATCACCCATGGTTTCACGGGTTATAAGCGTGCTGTGATTTCGTTTTAATTTTAAAATATATGTTAATTTACTGCATCACTTCGGTCACAGATTTGTTAATTCGAAGAGAAGTGAAATACTGAAAGGTACCGTTGTCCTTCATTTTAATATTTTTATCTTAAAATAAATTTACTCCAGCGACTTATTTGTTCGCCTCCATTGACCATCAAGCTGTAGATCATCGATGACCAACAGTCTTAACAGATATTATTGTGCTTCGATTCAATTTTAATTTATACTTTTGTTTAAATTTACTCCACCACTCAACTTTGGTGACCTATGGGTTGAATCTTAAAGATCCACAGATCACTACTGAACAATAGCCTTGACTGGTATCATTGTACTTGGATTTAATTTTAAAAAGCTAAATTTATTCCACAGAAATGAATTTAAGCTGTTACTCAATATGAGATTTCTGAAATTTCAGTTTAATTCGGAACGCGTTTTCAAACATTTTCAATTCTTTGAAACATCATTGATTAACTGTATCTATTCTTAAAGAGTCGCATTTAGTAAATTTAAGAAAGCAGTTCTCATTTCGAATTTCAACGCCACACGGGCTTATTCTTTCATTCTTTTCCAGTTATACGATGCAAGATGTATTAACAGGCTGCAATTGGAGATCCGCGATTTGGATAGCTATTGATGCCACTAATGTCAAGCTTATGATAAGAAATGTACGTTTTCTGCAAGGTTTTGCTTTAATTAAAATTTCACGTCTTTTTTCGTCTGACATTAAATTATGAGCCGGTTGCTTTAATTAAAATTGTTATCAGTAGTATATTTTATTGATCAAATCATTAAATCATAAAAATGCTTTACAGTCCAACGAAATACAATGAGAATTATAGTGATTCAAATTTGCCAGATTTTATGCAGCTGAGATGAAAATATTAAAGAAATTTTCAGTAGAGCTTGAATTGTTTCACATGCAATACTTACTTATTATTGTAGCTCCTTTTCGGACGAATCCAACGCTGACCAGTTCTTTTTTTAGTAAAATATCAACGGGATAACTGGCAATACAAGTGGCAAAAGCTCTCAGGAGATGAGGTAGACAGGATAAAACACCATTCTTTTTGTAAAGGAAACAGATAGTAAACATGTTTATCTTAATAAATAAGAGATATCTATTAATAAATGTAGAAAGATTTCTTTAAAATGCCTGACAGATTTTAAATGTCATATGCTCTTTATTTTTATAACATCCCACACTGTAGAACAGTCAATTCTGTTTAGTTCCGACTATTTTTCATAATTTTTTTAAGTACGTCAAATGAATTATCTTTCAAGTAATTATTATTTCAGGTCTCTGATTTCGCATCTGAGCAGAAACTTGCGCTTGACTGAAATACCTGTTGAAAGCATCATGCGTTAACAATGCAGTGAAATTAATTCATAGTTACGTCTCGAAAAAATTAAATATTTTATTTCTTAAATAAGTGCTCAAATCCCCATGTGAGTTAATTTACGATAAAAAAAATTATCGAAATTTTTCTATTATCATATCACTTCACCATTTTACATAGTAAATTCTAAATATAAAGTTTTATACTCTATTACCGATTATTCGGACGCATATTAACCGTTTTACTGATTAATTAGACTTTGTTTAAATATATGTATTGCGGCATGATATTAAGTTACCCTCCCCGTTCATCAGCATGTCTACAGAAAACACAAGAAGGAAAATTTATGGTCTAATAGCTATGATAGTATTAGTTCAACAGTACGTAAAATGTAATTCAGAATATATAAGGAATGTTAAGTCATCCGTTAAAAAGTGAATTGCTGCATCTTAAAAATAAATCATATGCATAGCCAATGATCTTTCGTTTCACATTAAATCCTATCGAAGTACAAGATTACCATAAATAAAAATTAATAGCATATACACTGTGAAGGAAAAAAAAACACAGAGAAAAACAGAATTCTGTAATACCAGAATCAAGAAAAGTTATTAAAAGACTATTTACTTTTATGAGACTTTTATGAGAAACTTTTCTGTTACTTTTATGAGAAACTTTTCAAGATGTTAAATTGTGATTTAAAGGTTACGGATTGCAATTTTGGTTTTCGTATTTCCTTATTCTGACAAAAATACATGCTTTGAGGTTCTTTAAACGGTGATGAAATACTCTATATATCTATAAGCTGAGTAAAATTGTTCGCTAATCAAAAAATGAAAAGTTGCAAGATTAGAGCAATTTCGGATTTAATATTTCACAGTATGAGAATCTTGCATGTTACAAAACTATAAACTAGTTTCATGTTACAATAACATCACCAGCTATCAATCAAACATTGCAACACTCATTACAGAAACGCTCGTATAATAAATATTTTCTGGCGATGTAACTTTCCTATTTCGAATGCCTTTCATTCCGATACTCTAGAGAAACATGTTTTGATATGGAATTCATGATAAACCTGAGACAATTACACTAAAATATGTCAATGGAAAAGTACATTTTTTTATTTTGTTTTTTATTGTCATATTATAAAATGTCTTTTCTAAAACACGTATATTTTAAAATAAAAAGAGATACCTTAGCTATGGGTAACTGCAGCACGGTTCCCATGTACAGAGCGTGCACTGTAGAAAAGAATCCTAGTAACCAGAACTGACCGAAAAATCCAATTGCCAATGCCCACAAAGGAACTGAAAGAGCCATTTCTTTCCAAGGTATCCTTAGTATCTGAAACAAAAAAATGAGCTAAACAAATTGAAATAACGTAATCTAATTTAAGTAGTTAAGGCTCTCATGATTTTCGTTCGTGTATTCTCTGGAATGGTACTATAGAGACATTAGGTTAATTGGAAAAGCCGGAGAGATGAAAAATGAGCAAATGCCTTCGCCGGGAATCGAACCACGGACCTCTGGAACACCGGCCCAGCGTGCAGAACCACTACACCACCAAGGCCAGCTAGGAAGGCGGGAGAAATACCTTATAGTATTTTTAATTTTAATTTAATTAGCATTTTAATTTAATTAGTATTTTATTAAAAACATTTTCTTTACATCTAGTGTAGGATTCCTTTTGCAAAATTTGGTTTTCATTCTGTTAGCATTCAACACCTCATCTTCTTTAAGATGTAAGGGACTACTGGTTTGAATAAATTTTGGTTTTAACATATTACTTCAAGTTTTTGAATACAAATACCATAATTTTGTTCGTTTTACACTTAAAAATCACTTTCTTTCGTTTACTCTCATTTCAATGCATGCTACTAGACCCGACTAGGGGTGAGAACAACGATACATATAAAACATATTTTACATAAATAGACAAATTTGAAAGTAAATTTCCAAACATTTTTACTCTCTTTGCCCAGTAAAAAACTAATTTTAAAATTCAAGTCGAATCGTGAATTTGTTAACCAATCGAAAATTGAAAATTAGAAATAAAGTTAGTAACGTCATATAGTTAAGGTTTTTTTTTTTTTTTTTTTTTTTTTGCCGTTATTAGACACAACTATTGGAGATATTGCAAGATTTACCAGGCAGTGACATATAGGAATGGATGAAAGAAATACGGCTGGTAAAATGAGAATAATGGAGTTACTGAGTGCAACTCTGCCATAAAGCTTCAATTTCTAAAAAAAGAGAAATGAAATAAAGTGTGTCAGTAATATTTATGTATTTAATACAGACATGTTTGGAACTGCAGGGAAAGGGAGGGAAAGGAAAACGGTTTCTTCAGTGGTGAATGGAATTCTGGTTAGTTCTGGTTTGGTTTGGTTTTATGGCAAAGTACTCAAGGGCTATTTGTCTAAGGAGAGGGATATCTTCGTGGAGGACTTTCTAAGGAAACTTGCTCGTATACACATTACACTTAGGAAAAACCACGAGAACGCTCATGCAACCAGCCCGTTCGAAGGGATTCGAACCTTCGAATTCTGGTTTTCTGTGTGACAAACGGTGACACTGATCATTGTACTATCAAGAATTCAAGCATAGTCGAAACCCAAGCTTGACCAGAGACTTCAAGATCTTCAATTTAACCAAGTTTGACCAGGAACTTTAAGGACCAGGAACTTAACCAATTGAGCTATTCAGAGACAGACTGCCATTCCCCTTTTATCAAATGTGCAACGTGTATAAGAGCCAGTTTTTCCTTAAAAAGTGCTTCCCGAAGACATTCCTTCCTTTAGGCAGGTAGCCCGAGAATGCTTTACCATAATTAAAGAAACCAAACCAAACCTTTATTTTCAAAGAAGTCCAGGGCGATCGAAATGAGATACAGCTTTGGGCCGAGACGTGTTATGCAAAAGTTTGAAAATAAAACTATTACATTCATTATTTCAGGCACTTTAATTTTATTATTTTTATATGATGAAGGTATAAATAAAATAAAATGATATTTATTTTCAAAATTACACAAAGCTAAATTTGTGTAATTTTGAGGCTGAGGGCGTGGCCAATGACGTCACACAGAGGGCGGGGCCAAGCACAACGTCTTCCATGACATCACACTAGGGGCGTGGTCTCGAGTTGAGGTGAGTTGTTTTTAGATTGCTGATTGAGTTGTAGACCTCCTGTTTTTCATTTTAAGTTAGTTTTTTAAAAATTGGCAACGGGAAATATTTTCTGCATCTTAATTTTGATGATATGGCGATGCTGCCCACTATGGATGAAAAAGTGAATTATATGTTTTCGAAATATATTTTTGAGTCTGGTGTTAAAATTATACAACGCGCGACTCTGAAAACAATGTAAAAAAACATATAAAAAAGACTTTCCTTTAATGATAGTTCATCATGTCATGAAAATGAAATACAGATAATTTGTTTTATTATCAATTTATTCTGATACTTTTTCTTCTAGTTTTTCATGAAAATTTAACTTATTTCGTAGCTTTCTGTTCATAAAACATAACTGTCTTTTTTAATACTTAACGTTTCAATTTGTAATATTTTAGTTTATTTCACATACTATTTTTTTATACCTTTCAAAATTTCAGCATACCCTGATTTTTAACTTATATGTTTATTTCACAAATGTTCCCGCACATGCTGTTGATTTGTTACATTACTTAATTTGATGCATTTCACACTTTTTTTAAACGTTTAAATGCTCAATATTCTGAATTTTAACTTCATTTACTTTTTTAAACCTCTAGTATTCTATACACACTTTAACTTAGTGGTTTGAAATCTATTTAAAAAGAAACGTTTATTTTCGTATCTTAGTTCTTTTACTAAATTTTCTACGATTTTCTATACATTTCAATATCTTCCTTACATTACCGAATATTATTTAAAAAAACTTAAGTCTATAACTGTTAATTGCTTTCTTCTTCGTTCATGATTTCTTTTTTTTAATTTATTTATTATTTTTAATTTTTATTTCTGTCTCATCATTAAGTCAACTTTTATCCAATTTCATTATTTTAACGATATGGATTGTTTTCATTTACTCCATATCAAATTTCCTTACAATTTTTTAATACTTGTTTTATTCTCCGATCAAATAGATCATCTACAGGTTTTTACTCAGAAATTTCCAATCACAACTTACGTTTAGTACCATTTAATCTAAATGTATTACTTTCTCATATAGTTTTATGGTCTTCAAAGTTCTAACTCTGTTTAGTTTTAATCTGATTCCTTTAAAAGTGTGTTGATAATTTTATTTCTAATTTTACTCCACGTTCAGTGTTTCATCCACGTATACAAAATATTTCTACTCTTCTGATTTTAGTTATGTAATATGTCAGTACTTCAATGAATTTACACTGCTACACTATTATTTTTCATGTTTTAAGACACTGACTATACTAATTTTTACCTTTTTCCTACACTATTGCATCAGTCTGCATCATGAAAAATAGCAATTTTTTGCTCACGCATAAAGAACTTCTTAAAA